GAAGAAAGAGTTGGGGGGGGGGGGCAATAGTGGGGAGAATTGAGACTGAGTAGGGAAGGGTAAGGAGTTTGCGGGGATGGTATAGGCAGAGAACACCATCATCACTTCCACTGCACTAGAATACAAATAAGTAGTTTCATTCCACTCTGATGACCAGGCATTGATTACTGAAGAGTGGTGAAAAGTCAAATAACTACTTATTAATGTTAGCAAATTTAGTAGCAAGTAGTGGCAGTTAAATATACCGATGAATATATTTTCATATACATTTCAAGCCCTCTGCCTGTGGTGACCGTTATCAGTTATATTTTTCCCAGTTCTCGCTTTGGACTACTGAACACCTCCAATGCCATGGCAAACAAACAGGATCAAATAAGAAAAGTTAATTGTTAAGCTTTTACATACATTTTGAATTACATTGAACCTGAGGTGGGGATTGCTATAGATTGCTTTAGTGCTGTGAATAATGAATGTGTTTTAGGTTTATTGGTATTGCAGCTACTCTGCTATAAACAGTGATCAGCACACCCCACAATATTAAGGTCCCATTTAGACCTTTGTGGTTGGTTACTGTACACATTGCTCATTACTGTAGTTTAGAGTTGGGGTACCTTTCTAAATAAACAGCAGCACAAAGGTGCAAACTGTCATAAGTAAACAAATGCATGTTTTAATACACATTACTTCAATGCATAGTTCTGAAGGGAACCTTAAGCTTTGAACTGGCTCCTGAAAATGTAATTCAGATAAATGTTAACTAATAATACTGTGATAACTTGCTAGATTTCGTCTCCACAGCAAACAGACACAAAGCAGAATACCACATTCTCTCAAAGTTCAAAAATTCATGTACATCAGAATACACATGACCAGACTTTTAAATACTTCCAAACTTTCTGCCCACGTGAATTAGAAGGGGATAAAAAGCACTGTTATAGCAACGGGAAGAAATTCATTTAGCATTAGTCCATTCAAAGAACTGAAAGCTATTATTCATAGAGAGGAATGTTGATGAAAAACTCGGTAAGCAGGCTTAAAAAAAAAAAAAAAAAAAGGGTTTTTGTACTCAACATAAAATCCTTTTCTGAGAGTCTGAGGGACACAGACTTGCAGCATACCATTCTCTCGATGTGGAACAAGTCACCCCACTCTCTGAAGAGCCTGATCCATTTGATCCCAGGGGCCAGGAAATGTTGATGATGGAGGCCAGCCTGTTAGGCTGGGAAGGAGTCCTAGGCACTCTTACTGCAGGGTACTTAGTCATCAGAGGAATCTTGTCTCCTGATCATCGTCAGGTGATCTGGTTGTCCTTTCAACATTAGAATGCATTGCTGAAAGCCATTTAATCCAAATCCAGCTGGACAATGCCATGGCTGTGGCGTATGTCAATCACCAAGAAGAAATGAGAACCTATGCTGATGCGAGAGAAATCAAACATGCGAATCAAGGCAGGATATAATGTTCCAGCTCTTGCAGCTGTCTGCATTCTCAGAGCATAAAACCAGCAGGTAGATTTTACCTTTCTGCAACTACTGGACCAGAGAGCATGGTCTTGGAATTAAGGGTGTTCAAGGACCTCTATCCCAGGTGGAGAAAGGCAGATGCGGATCTCTTAGCAGCCAGGTTCACCAACAAACTGCACAGGTTTCCAAGTCCTGGGATCTGCTGGTAGAGGCAGTTGATACACAGGTAGCTGTTTGGGTCAGCACAACTTGATTTATGCCTTTCCTCCCTGAGATTCCTTTCTTTTCTGTTTTACAGGATCAAGGTGGAGGGTATTGCAGTGCTTCTTATAGCCTTGTTTTGGCGTAGAAGAGCATGGTAGGCTGAACTAGTAAGATTACTTGCAAATCCATGCGATCCAATTCAGCCAATTGCACTGCATTTTGCAAACCATTTTTGGGCTGTTAACATTTACACCCGCAGCAGTCTGCATTGTGATTTGGTGCGGGAAAAGCATAGGAATTGCTGTAAACCCCACACTGTATCAATGTGAACCAGCTCTAAAGATTTATAATAAAGGAAATAAAACAAAACTAACCAATCCCAACATTTACACCATTTATTGCTAACCGTGAGCGGACAGCTCTTTGCCCAAGAAGAGAAGGCTGATGTCACATCTGCTTATCACAGTTAACACTGCTTATTACAAATTTTAGCTCAATCTTAGAGGTTATCTGCTTCACTGACCTACACAGTTACCAAAGATAAGCGATTCTTTACTATCAATTACAAAAATAAGCAATTTCATATATACATGCAAAGCTGAAGTCAACATTTTTATCTGGGTTGTCTTATTTGCCTGATGAGGACAATTATGGTCTTCATTGTGTGATTAGTCATAGTTACAGCTGATCACACTTATAGAATGTGCCTCCCTAGAACACTATCAGAATTATTATATAAAAAGAGTGCAAGCAGCAACATATTTCAGGTATGGTCATGAAAAAAAGAAACAAATTAGGCTGCCAATGCTGACCATCGGAAAGTGCTGTCTGGCTTTAATACATCTGAGTCAGGCCCAGAACAAGCAGGAAGCAAATGGGGAATTAAAAGAAAGAAAAAAAGTACAATTAGCACATGCACAAAAGTCTGTAATGGACTATAAAATGAATTTTGGAAAATGCCTGTAAGCTAAAAGTATATTACCTTAATGGATAAGTTCACCTTTCATAACATGTTACACCCATATTTAGGGTGTAGTATGTTACTGTAGAACCAGCCCCACACCACCCGTGACAGCTAGGAATCTTCTCCCCCGCTAGCTGTAACAATTTTAAAACAAATGCGGCTGTGCGGCCACGTCATACACTCAGAGTTCTATGAATGGGAAATTACAACTCCTGACAGCCTTTGCAGCTGTTTTGTGGTTCTCGAACTACAAGCTGAGCGATGTGGTAGTTCATTGATTCTTCCTGGCAGTGTAAAACTGCCAGCTCGTACAAGGTACGAGCAGATTACACTGACAGTCTGTGGTCTCCTGCATGGCACCAACAATCTGCTGATCACTGCTGCAATGCTTTCTAAGCTCCTAAAATTAATTTAAAAAATGTGCATTCTTTTGCAAGTGAAAAAAATGTACATTTACTATTTAACGGTGAACTTATCCTTTAGCCCTGGTTCACACTGAATGTGGCTTTGAAATCGCACTACTTCAATTAATTTTAAAGCCGCAGGTCAGTGAGATTTCATGCACAGATGTCTGCGCAAGTTGCACATGAAATAGCACAGGAACTTTTTTTTTTTTTTTTTTTTTAATTTAAATCAGTGCCACACCGCAAAGTCAGAGTTGCACCAATTTGAACAGTTCCGTAGGCACAAATAGGGTGCAACTTGTCATGCGATTTGGAACTGTCAAATCACACGACAAGTCGCAATGGTGCGAACCAGGGCCTAATGGTATTTAGACTAGAGCAGTATGTGTGGTAGAAATATATCAGTTCAACCACATTTTTGCCTTTTTTTTTTTTTTTTTGACAGTTTTCAGATATGGATGTATATTTATTCCCATATGCACACAAAGGGACAAGTACAGAAAAGGTCATACCACCAACTTCTGAATGACAAACCCAATTACCAACCACTTAGGGTGAATTGTATTGAAATGCTGCAAACAAATACATTGATAGATGAATTAGAGCATTAAATTATCTTGTCCCCAAAAGAAAGAAAGTTGCTAAGGCAAAAACCCAATAGTCATTTCATCGCTTGTAAAGTAAACTCCCCTCATCACATGATTCCATTATAAAGATTGTCACTGAGCCAAGATACATGCACTGTGAAATACAGCTTCTGCTTGATCCATTGCATATGTTTTATTTGCAGAAGTTAGATCACACCCAGACACCTGACCTTTGGTTGCATACCAGATATCTTGGTGTTATCTTTAATGGTACAGAATACATCATATATATCCTGGATTATGTCCCTCCAGTTCATCATTACAGGAAAAAAAACCCAAAAACAAAAATACAAAAAAAAACCCCAACTGTGTTGCATAATTTAAGCCACACCTAGGTGTATATATAAAAACAGTGAGGATACAGACTAACTAATGCATCTCTAAGGGACTAGTTAGACAAGTTAGCCCATGTCACTTTTGCTATCCTGCCACTGTCAAGCCGTTGCTATGGAGGACACAGCAGAGCAGTGAAGACACACCTGCTTCTATGCATCACTCTTGCTGGCTGGATATGCAGGGTGTCACTCTTGCTGGTGACTTTCTGCAGCGAGGGGGAGATACATACATGCAGATAAGTGGTTTCCTGGCACAGAGATCCTGTTGCTGGAGACAGGAAGCAACCAGATTGTTAGGGTAACATGGGTCTTCAATCCTGCAGTATAACCTGACCACATTATCTCAGACAGAAAGGGCACCTGCATACCTCAACATAGGTAATAACTGCAGACTCCCAGCAGGAAGACTATAGCACCAATCCAGGGTAGATATTTTTCCTTCATAAATCAAGGTTTACACAAATAACAATGAATGTAACCAAAGTTCATCAGCTTCAAAAGATCCACCGAGTCTTAGAGATTGTAAAAAAAAATTTCTTTTGCCACTAGTAGATATTTTTCTTCATAAATCAGTATTTATACAGTAGTTTTTGTACAAAACTAACATATGCAACCATAGTTCATCAGTTTCACAAGATCCTCAAAATCATAAAGATCTTTTAATGTTCTTTCACTATATACATAACTATAGAGGCCATCTTGATAGACAGAGCAGTGAAGTGCACATAAATACTCCTTTCACAGGGCAGCAGTAAAAAAAAAAAAAAAAAAAAAAAAAAAAAAAAAAATGTATTACGCTGCAGATGACAATCAAATTCAATCTGTCACTTTCCAGTGCACTTGGCAGTAATTGGCAGCTGGAGAGGATACGACATCTAGTAACAATGTGGTCATACATCGGGTCCTAGTTTTGAAATTTCTTAGGCTGCTGTCCAGATCCTTTAGAAGTCCTAGTTTCCAAGCAGACATGTTACTGGATGATACTAGACATCAGTCGTCTCAGCACAATCTCCATTAGGATACTGCAACACAGTCAGCGCTGTTCCTTCTTGAAAACTCTGCAATTAAAAAATGTAAATGTAAAACAAAATTTTCAATAAAGTATGTAAACCCTAACAATTAACTTATTTTATTTGCTCCCTTTTAGTCCATTTAATATAATGTTAAAAGAGTTTTGTATTTGTTCAATAAACGCAAAAAAAAAAAAAAAAAAAAAAACAACAACAAAAACAAAACAAAAAAACTACTGGTCAATCCTAGAACAAATATTGGTCAATCCTAGAGCTGAAAACCTTTGGTGCTCTGACTTATCAGTTAGCACTGTTCCCAGCTTTCTCTGTGGACTACAAACTACCCACTATGTTCTGGAGATGAGAAGGGGGGGGGTGTTCTGTAGTCTGAACACACTTCTTGTCATAGGTGACAACACTGCTTCCCAATATACAGTCAGGTCCATAAATATTGGGACATCGACACAATTCTAACATTTTTGGCTCTATACACCACCACAATGGATTTGAAATGAAACAAACAAGATGTGCTTTAACTGCAGACTGTCAGTTTTAATTTGAGGGTATTTACATCCAAATCAGGTGAACGGTGTAGGAATTACAACAGTTTGCATATGTGCCTCCCACTTATTAAGGGGCCAAAAGTAATGGGACAATTGGCTTCTCAGCTGTTCCATGGCCAAGTGTGTGTTTTTCCCTCATTATCCCAATTACAATGAGCAGATAAAAGGTCCAGAGTTCATTTCAAGTGTGCTATTTGCATTTGGAATCTGTTGCTGTCAACTCTCAAGATGAGATCCAAAGAGCTGTCACTATCAGCGAAGCAAGCCATCATTAGGCTGAAAAAACAAAACAAACCCATCAGAGAGATAGCAAAAACATTAGGTGTGGCTAAAACAACTGTTTGGAACATTCTTAAAAAAAGAAAGAACGCACCAGTGAGCTCAGCAACACCAAAAGACCCGGAAGACCACGGAAAACAACTGGGGTGGATGACCGAAGAATTCTTTCCATGGTGAAGAAAACACCCTTCACAACAGTTGGCCAGATCAAGAACACTCTCCAGGAGGTAGGTGTATGTGTGTCAAAGTCAACAATCAAGAGAAGACTTCACCAGAGTGAATACAGAGGGTTCACCACAAGATGTAAACCATTGGTGAGCCTCAAAAACAGGAAGGCCAGATTAGAGTTTGCCAAACGACATCTAAAAAAGCCTTCACAGTTCTGGAACAACATCTTATGGACAGATGAGACCAAGATCAACTTGTACCAGAGTGATGGGAAGAGAAGAGTATGGAGAAGGAAAGGAACTGCTCATGATCCTAAGCATACCACCTCATCAGTGAAGCATGGTGGTGGTAGTGTCATGGCGTGGGCATGTATGGCTGCCAATGGAACTGGTTCTCTTGTATTTATTGATGATGTGACTGCTGACAAAAGCAGCAGGATGAATTTTGAAGTGTTTCGGGAATATTATCTGCTCATATTCAGCCAAATGCTTCAGAACTCATTGGACGCCGCTTCACAGTGCAAATGGACAATGACCCAAAGCATACTGCAAAAGCAACCAAAGAGTTTTTTTAAGGGAAAGAAGTGGAATGTTATGCGATGGCCAAGTCAATCACCTGACCTGAATCCGATTGAGCATGCAATTCACTTGCTGAAGACAAAACTGAAGGGAAAATGCCCCAAGAACAAGCAGGAACTGAAGACAGTTGCAGTAGAGGCCTGGTAGAGCATCACCAGGGATGAAACCCAGCGTCTGGTGATGTCTATGCGTTCCAGACTTCAGGCTGTAATTGACTGCAAAAGATTTGTAACCAAGTATTAAAAATTGAAAGTTTGATTTATGATTATTATTCTGTCCCATTACTTTTGGTCCCTTAACAAGTGGGAAGCACATATGCAAACTGTTGTAATTCCTACACCGTTCACCTGATTTGGATGTAAATTACCCTCAAATTAAAGCTGACAGTCTGCAGTTAAAGCACATCTTGTTTGTTTCATTTCAAATCCATTGGGGTGGTGTATAGAGCCTAAAATGTTAGAATTGTGTCGATGTCCCAATATTTATGGACCTGACTGTATGTGCTAAGAGGGAGGGTTGTCACTCTTGGACTGGGTACCAAACAAAGATCAGAGTTCAAATCTTTTAATAAGGGAAGGTGCGGTCAACCTGCACCTTCCCATTCAATTAATCATTCTTCCTGCCACCTTGCCTTCCCTATCCCACACCTCTCCCTCATCTACATATCTTGTCACCACCTGTTTATTAGTTCTTGTTCTACATTACAATTACCTCTTCCCTCCCGATGTACTTTCCAAGTCATCTTCAATCTGCCAGCTACCCATGCACAGTTTAAAAATTATCTAATCTTCAACTAGATTGTTGCTTTTGTGTTACGGTGTAATCACTGTCATTCACATTGCTTCAAGTCTTCAACATTTTTCCTGTTTCTTCATCTTTTATCATGCTTGGCTGATGTTTTAGGCATCAGCATTCACTCCCCAATTAAAGTGGTTGTAAACCCTTACATGTAACCAGCGAAGTGACTGGCCTCATGTGATACACAGAGATGAAACAAATCCTCCTACAAAAGTTGTACCTGTTTATCTGCAGTATTTTCTCTACAGCTGTTCAAAGCCCAGAATTTATACAGCTTGTCTGAGATTTCAGAAAGCAGGGGGTGGCAATCAGAGGAAAGGGGCACAACCCTCTTCACACAGCACAGAGGAACAGAGCTGAGCCTCTCAATCACAGACTTTGTGAAGGGGGATGTCCCCGTCATCTTTTTTGGGTGTCAGGAAAACTTGTCAGAAGGGACTCATGTAGATAGAACGGGAAGTGAAAGAAAATCCCTGGTTGTCACCAGAACTAGTGTCTCCATTGGAAGATTTCCCCTCTACTCCCATTCTCGAGACAATCCAACAACTGAGATTTGCTTCTACTTGCACTCTTGGTGAGAACAATAAAAAGGACATATTAAAGAGGGTAAAAAAAGTGTTACCTTTATACTTTAAAGTAGGAGGAAAGGCTAAGCAATAAACCAATTTTTAAATGATTTCCCCACATACATTTTTAGCATAAACTACAAAGTAAATACCTTTTGTTCTATGTATTTACGCAACCACAAAGTTACAGCTTCTCTGTGTAATGTGAAGGGACAAAAATGGGTCTGGATTCCATAAAGTAGTGATGGCAACCAGTGGGATTTTTATTCTCCAAGCATCGGTGTATCAGGAATTTCGCTCCCATCAACCATACACTGGTTTATTGTTTTGTCTTAAACATTCTTTCTCCCATCATCCAGTTTCACAGCAACATCTCCTCATGTTTTTCTTGTCTATCTTTCAGACACTTCTCTCTTTGTTTCACCTATCTACAGTGGGGAAAATAATTTGATCCCCTGCAAATTTTGTAAGTATACCCACTTACGAAGAAATGGAGGGTCTATAATTTTTATCATAGGTGTATTTTAAGCGACAGAGACAAAATATCAACCAAAAAAAAAAAAAAAAACACGATACAAATGTTATAAATGGAGTTGCAGTTCAGTGAGTAAAATAGTTATTTGATCCCCAAGCAAACATGACTTGGTACTTAGTGGCTTAGTGGAGAAATCTTTGTTGGCAAGCACAGAGGTAAAATGTTTCTTGTAGTTGGTTACCAGATTTGAACACACATCTCAGGAGGGATTTTGGTCCGCTCTGCTTTACAGACCTGTAAATCCTTAAAGTTTCTTGGATGTTGCTTAACAAATCGAACTTTCAGCTCCCTCCATAAATTTCCTATAGGATTAAGGTCTGGAGACTGGCTAGGCCATTCCATGACCTTAATGTGCTTCTTAAGCCAATCCTTTGTTGCCTTGGCGGTATGTTTTGGGTCATTGTCATGCTGGAAGACCCATCCTTGACCCATCTTCAGTGTTCTGGCTGAGGGAAGAAGGTTCTCACCCAATACATGGCCCCGTCCATTGGCCCTTCTTTAGCAGAGAAACAGCCCCAGAGCATAATGTTTCCACCTCCGTGCTTGGCTGTAGGGATGGTGTTCTTAGGGTCAGCATTTTTCTTCTTCCAAATACGACGAGTTGACCACAGCACTTTCTCCCAATCCTCTGAATCATTTAGATGTTCATTGTCAAACTTCAGACAGGCCTGTACATGTGCCTTCTTGAGGAGGGGGACCTTGCGGGTGCTGTATGATTTCAATCCATGGCTTATTGTGTTACCAATGGTTTGTTTGGTGACTGTGGTCCCAATTGCCTTGAGATCATTCACAACATCCTCCCGTGTAGTTCTGAGCTGATCCCTCACTTTTCTCATGATTATCCTTACCCCATGATGCGAAATCTTGCATGGAGTTCCAGACCGAGGGCGATTGATGGTTATTTTGTATTTCTTACATTTGCGAATAATCGCACCAGCAGCCGTCTCCTTCTCATCAAGCTTCTTGCCGATGGTCATGTAGCCCATTCCAGGCCTGTACAGGTCTACAATCATGTCCCTGATGTCCTTTGACAGCCCTTAGGTTTTGCCCATAGTGATGGTAAAGTTTGAATGGAAGAAAGATTCTGTGGACAGTTGTCTTTTATACACATAGCAAGTTTTTGTTGGGTGATCCCTTTTTATTGACAAGATTTATCTGTGTACCACATGAGCACATGGCCAGTCTGTGGGAGCCAGAATTATTGTTGGTTGGTAGGGGATCAAATACTTATTTTACTCACTGAACTGCAACTCAATTTATAACATCTGTATCATGTTTTTTTGTTTGTTTTTTTTAAGGATTTTTGGTTGATATTCTGTCTCTATAATTTAATATACACCTATGATAAAAATAATAGACCCTTCATTTTTAAGTGGGCAAACTTACAAAATCTACAGGAAATCAAATAATTATTTTCCCCACTGTATCTCCACTTCTCATTTAACCCCTTTCTTTCACTGGTTATTAATTTTCCATGCAGATTTTCTGATCCAAAGATCCAACTGGACTGCCTGCACAGGGACTGACAGTCACCAGCTCTCTGCTCATGGAGCACTGAGAACTGAGCGATCAATGGTCTTTGATTGCTCATTTCACAATCTTAGAGCCGGCAGGGGACAGATGCATCCAGTTAGGCAAGTATGATTTCTAAAAACAAAAAAAGAAAAAACACTTGACTTCTCGTTTAAATAAATTTGGACTGACTTTTTCATTTGCTGCTCTCGGATCCTGTATACCTTCATACATCCGTCCTTTTCTCATACTTGTTAGCTCAAGAACTACATTTGTTTATTTTGTGCTATAAAAAGAATGATCACATTGATTATCCCTAGGGCATCGCAAATTACAAAAATGCTATGCTGGAGATTTTCCAGATGGATGTTGTTCATTGTTCTACACTGTAATGATGTCACTAAGCTAAAACAGAGTCAGAAGAAACAGATTTCTAAAGGATCAGAATATTTACCCTTTTCCACACAGTCCTTCCATCTCCTTCTCCTCCATGAGAAACATCGGGACTTCATTTTGGGCTTTAGTTTCCTGAGCTCATCTAATAAAAAAAAAAATAATGTTTTTCCTTGTCTATGGAGTACTCAGATCTATTCCTATCAAATATCACGTCACCGGTCACAATCTTGTGAACTCACATTCAAGATTTGTGTGGTTACAATTGCCTGAATACATAATTAGTTTGGCTAAAGTGTGTGTCATGAGACAAGTATGTGGGCTGCCAATGCTGGCTCACTTCAAAATGAAAATTGTGTGGCAGAGTTTGACTTCAATATTTTTGAGTATTAGACCTAGAACAAGCATTCTGTACAGAGCATCAGAAATCCTCATTTTAAACTTACATGTGTCAGAGACAAAGTATTGAAGGATAAGGAACAGAAAATATTAGCGTTTTAGCGTTACAGCTGGGGAACTAACACAAGTCAGCAATGGAAGGCTCTATACCTTTCTATTGACAGAAGTGGGGGGGGGGGGGGGGGGTGGGGGGAGAAGTGTTCTATACTGTCTGTCACTTTTTGAAAACAGCGCAGCTGTTTGGGGCCCCACCCGCACGGCTGTGTCATTCATTCACAAAGTTCTGTTAATGAATGAACGAACTACAAGTCCCGACAGCCTTGAAGCTGTTGGTTTGTAGTTCTCAATTAACATGGCATTGTTGAGCGCTGTGGTAGTTCGTTGAGTCTTCCTGTCACACTGTATCTACTGGCCCGTATGGGATGTATGGGCACAAAGATGCAGGAGTCCTGCATGGCATCAGCTTTACCTGACTGGATATTTTATTGTTAGTAAGTTAATGAAGATTGCAATGTGGGCCAACATAATCTACCGACTTCAATATGCCAAGTCACAAATATACAGTTAGGGCAAACCAACGTGAATGCTTTTTTCCATTGAGTGGATCAGTATGGTAACCAAGGGTATAGTTATTTTAGAATGAAGACACTAATTGCTGCCTACATACTGTACTTAGCCAAGCAAAAGGGTCATTAAAAGTAGAATTCCAACCTCCCTATAACTAACCCTAAAACCGTCCCCCCCATTACCTATGCTAACCAACCTGATCTTCCATGTGTCAGCCAATGATAGCTACCGGGGAGAGGAGAAAGAGCTTCAGCAACAGCTAATAAAGCCTGGAGAACTGTTGTCGCCCATTAGGCTTTAATGGCCAATCTGTTGTGAATACTCCCTCTTCTCACCTGCAGCCGCCACTGAGTGATCACGGGATCTCGTGCCTGGACCAGAGCAGGCTGAAAGTAGGCAACTACATACATGTCTATTCAATCATATTGTAAATCTGGCAAAACACAACTCAAATTTTAGCCAAATTCTGCTGAATCGGACAATATTTGACCCGTGGGTGGCCCCCTTGCCACCACCTGATTCAACAAAATTTGCTAAAAAAAAAAAAAAAAAAAAAAAACTTAATTCAACTGAACATAGAGGAAAATGATCCTATCAGCTGCAGTCGCCATTGGTGTAGAGTAGTAGCAATTCCTCCATTTATACTGTTTACAGTGATTTTTCTATTGTTCAGTCTTGTTCAGTCTACCAAATGTATATATCGGGCAGTCAGATCAGGTCCAACGGTCAATTTTTCAGGTGGACCTGAGCAGAAGGTCCATGCATTCCTATGGACAGGTGGGTGTAAATAGACTTGTGTCTGTTTACACCTGCCTACCTCGAGGTCCCATCTGGTCTGCCAGATGTGAAATGGACCATTTACTCCTGGATAGCCATAGAGCAGAGCAGGTTCTGTCTGTGTTCGCTCTGCATAAACCTAGCAGACATGAACCTGTCATCTGTCTGCTCTGAGTGGGGGGTGGGGAGTGGGGGGAATATCTGTTCACAAATTCCCTGCTGGTCAGAATGGAATCTGCCCCTGTGAAAGAGGCCTTAGAGTGTGCATGAGTGCTTACAAGATAAATTGTGTTGTATCTTCACCTATGTATCATACAGTCACATGGTACCATGCATGGCCACATTTACTAACATTTAACATGCTCCATTTCCTCCAGATGCAGTTCCATACAATCTCATGATATGAATGGTGAGCCCACACGTTTAGATTTCTTCTAATACTTTCCATACACATGTAGATTTTCAGGCAAGAATATTCGTAAGAAAAGTATGAAAATTCAATGAATGGACGATTTTAAAATGAATGTAATTTCTGAATGATAACCACATACACTGGCCGAAAACTTATTTGATCGAGAAAAACTGCCACTTCGAATTTTCCCATCACTGCTGTCGAAAATGAACATCATTTTGAACCCCGCTAATGATTAGAAAATCAAACGAATATTCTTTAAATGAAAATCAATATATGTATGATTAGCTTAAAGCAGAGCTCCACCCAAAAGGAGAAATTCAGCTTTAAGGACTGCTTCCCCGTTCCCCATTAAGGATTGGCACCTTTGGGGGGTGGGGAGCGGGTACCCAAATTTGACAGGTACCCGCTCCCACTTCCGGTCCGACCGCCTAGGCGATTGGAAACGGAAGGTGTCTTCCCTCCCTGTAGTCTTCTGGGACACGACAGGTCCCAGAAGACTACAGGACCATTCATGAAGCACAGTGCTACTCACGCATGCGCAGTGGGTAGCCGGCTGTGAAGCCACAAGCTCTCACAGCTGGGTGCCCACACTGAAGATGCCGGACTCCTGGAATACAGGACGGCCGGTGAAACAGGCTGTGGGGAACACACCACGGGACCGAAGGACAGGTAAGTGGCTTTTTTTTTAAAAGTCAGCAGCTACAGTTTTTGTATTTGCGGACTTATTTTTTGACAGGTTGAGTGGAACTCCGCTTTAAGGTTCACAGCCCATGTGATGAGAAGGGCCAATCACCTGCCGCTGTGAGCGCCTCGCAGGCCAGTCTCTGGATCTCCCTCCTGGACTCCTCCTGTCCGGGGATGAGAACACAGGCTCGGACCTCTGAGCACAGCTTCCCCCGACTCTTCACAGGGAACACGGCCTGCAGGATGGCCAGCAAAGCGGAGACCTCAGAGCCCCCACTGCCGTCCTCACACATCACCTCCATCTCCTGCCCATTGACCGCACTCCTCGCCTTCATAATCACTCCGACTACAGCGCCACCTGCCGCCATCCGCTCCCGCACGTCCCGCAGGATCTCCCGCAGCTGACGGCTCGCTCCTCTCATTCCTAAAGACTCCGCCCGGCACAGGAAGAACACCAATCCGAAACGTAAGCGCCGCTCGGGTTTAGGCTGAGGGGCGGGGCTTGTGGTGAGGGCAGTCTGGTTCTCGTGTTTCTGGGCTCCGCGCTGCGGATTCCCTTCACATAGGTGTCCGTCCCCGCCAGGCTCCGTGCTCCTCTCACACCGGGGTCCGTCCCCGCCAGGCTCGGGGCTCCCCTCACACCGGGGTCCGTCCCCGCCAGGCTCGGGGCTCCCCTCACACCGGGGTCCGTCCCCGCCAGGCTCGGGGCTCCCCTCACACCGGGGTCCAGGCTCGGGGCTCCCCTCACACTGGGGTCCGTCCCCGCCAGGCTCCGGGCTCCGCTCACACTGGAGTGCCGTCTTCCCACCAGCAGCTTTCCTCAGTGTATCGTCCTCAGGAGGCAGCTCAGCCGGGAAAATCTCCCTGAGGAATGCGTCTAGCAGAGCCCGGCTCTCCGCCCGCTCCCACAGTTCTCCCACTAGCTGCACGTGTTGCGGTCCTCCGAAGCGGCCCAGCACCTCCTGGAAGCGGCTCTCCGTGCTGTCCCGGGCCATTCCGACTCACTGCAGCCTCGTCCAGTCGTACCTGCCCGCAGGATGAGCCGTTCACACATCACTCTCCGCACCATACCAACCCGACCATTCAGCCAGAGAAAACGTCCAATCAGAAAGCCTCTGGAAGGGGGAATCTTACAATCCCAGCTCCGGATTTACCTCCTGTTCAATCCTATTGGATACGGCCTGACACACCCACGCAACGCCACACCCACTGGGCTGTAGAGCAGGTCCATGTCTAACCTTGACGCTGGGACTGTGACATGTATCTCTGTGTACGATGTACCTGACTCTTCCGTCTACCTGTCCTCATAGAGTGACGTGTAGCGAGCCCAGGATCTCTGTGTGCTATACAAATATACCGATCAGCCATAACATTATGCCCACTGGCAGGTAGGGAATAGCACCGATTATCATGGTATAGTGGCATCTAGAAGTGGGTGGGATGTCTTAGGGAAGTGAATATGTTGAAGTTGATGTGTTGAAAACAGAAAAAGTAGCCACCTGTAAGGATTTGAGTGACTTTGACAAGGGCCAAATTTTAAGGATTAGACAACCGGATCAGATCATCTCATGTATCAGGTTACAGGGATGAAACAAACATTTTATCAATGGCAGGAGTGCTTACAATAGTCAGCTTTTATTTATTCAAGTAAAACCTTTATACCAAAAAGGAAAAAACTGCTGTAACTGATTATAAAGCGTGAGCTGGAGTTTGACTTCAATTTGTTAGTGTATTTAAATTCACTAGTACAACTAACACTCCCCTTTCAGACTGTCAATGCTGCTTTCCAAAGGTGCTCATTCATCCAGAGTGGGAACACTCTAATACAGGAGGTGTGTTACTGGCCAGATCACCAGGTTAAAAAAGAGGGACCAATGCCTTAAAAAAAGAAAAATAATGCTGCTGCTTCCTCCTTTTATGATTGGTAAGCTGCAATATATTACAGTTTCGGCTTTGGGTTTAATACCAACGTACTTGTACATCACTGGACTTACAGACTTTTTTAGAGCCGGCAGTTATCTTTCTTGTAATAGCAATCAGGGTGGCCGATTCCCATTACAAGCAGAGGGAGGGGGACGTTCCTGCCGCCTTCCACCGCTTGCTTGGGAGCTTCTGTCCGACCAGAACCCGAGCAAACAGCTGGTGTGTCCGCTGGCTGGTCTTAGAGCCGAACAAAGCCAGAATCAGCTTTGATCAACTCTGCTATGGTAACCCAGAAGTGATGACCTGGATGTCAACTGTGCCATTTTTAAATACTCAAAAGCATTTGAAAACATCGATCTTGGTGTTTTGAATGCTTTTAAGTGCAGTGGAAGGATTGGGGTGATAAAAAAAATGAAAGCAACAGTGTAATAAAAAAATTAATAGTTTTTAAAAATGAAATTGCCCTCATGCTCGCACACAAAGGTGAACGCACGTTTCAGTTTCTGCACGCAATCAAACAGCAAACGACCCACACATGTGAGGTATCACCATGAACGTCAGATCATGGGCTGTAATTCTAGCACTATACCTCCTCTGTAAATCTAAAGTGGTAACGTATAGGCTTTTAAAGCGTCACCTATGGATAGTAATATTTACGTAATTTGTCACCGTTGCATGGGTTGTACAATATTAAAGCATGACATGTTTGGTATCTATTTTCTCAGTATAACTTCATGTTTTATATTTTATAAACATTGAGTTATATATTGTGTTTTTTGCAGTAAAATTCAAAAAAGTGTAGTTTTTTTTTTAAATTGCGTTTCAAAAACTTCTGCGCAAATACTGTGTGACATAAAAAAAATTGTAAAACTCACCAATTTATTCCCTAGGGCATCTGCTTTAAAAACATATAATGTTTGGGGGTTCTAAGACTTTTTCTAGCAAAAACTACTGATTGTATTATGTAAACAAAAAGTGCCAGATATGGCTTAGTCTTCAAGTGGTTAAAGGATCTGCTACTGATGACTTGGTGCCAGATACCACAGCATCCCTTTGAAGGGCTACTGGAATCCATGCCTCAAAGGGTTATGGTGGGTGGTCATAATGTAATGGCTGGTCAGTGACATGTTCATTGCATGCCGACTCTTCCTTCTACCTGTTAAGATTTATTTTATTTATTTCAGGTACTTATATAGCGCTGTCAATTTATGCAGTGCTTTGTATATATATTGTACATTCACATCAGTCCCTAACCCTCAAGGGGCGTATAATCTAAGGTCCCTAATTTACAGTCATACATACACATACTAGGGCCAATTTAGACAGGATTCAATTAACCTACCAGCATGTCTTTGGAGTGTAGGAGGAAACCAGAGTACCCGGAGGAAACCCACGCAGGCACAGGGAGAACATGCAAACAGGCAGGTGGTGCAGTGGCTGGGATTCAAACCAACAACCCTAGTACTGCCAGGTGGAAGTGCTAACCATTTAGCCACTGTGCTGCTCAGTTCAAATAAAGTGATATGCACAGTACTTCCTATCTCTGTGTACAATGCCAATGACTCTTCCTTCTACCATACATCTCAAATTTTATAAATTGAAAATGAGGGACACTTCACAATGTGTTATCACTTATTTGCACTTTACTGATCCACAGAGATTGGAGCACAGTGTGTTATTGTTTACCAGTATATTTTTAATTCATTTCTATTATTATTTATTGTTTAGCATTTTTAGGTGTTAGCACTTCACTATTTAAATATATAATGAAAAACTTTATTAACCCCTTCCCACCTACACCTCCTGGCTCTTTTAAGAGCTTTTATATGCCAGGAGTTGGAGGCAGGCATTTGGGTCATGTGAATGCTGTGATTGGTTGTCACAATGATCACATGATTGGAAAGCTCATGATTGCATGTATGCATTGGGAGCTTGCCAATCCCCACTGTCTACTGTGAGCATTCTCTCAGCGCGGTAAGTTGTTTATACAGGGCTGCATATATGCCGCTGCTTGGCGTTAAGGCCCCTGCTGCGGAGAGGCTGCATATATGCATATGGCTGGCGGGGAGGTGTTAACGTAGTCAGAGACTGCTTAGCAACTATCAATTGTTAAGACAATGAACACTTTGGTGACAAGCATGTAATGTACAATATAGTGCAGAAGTCTGTAGTGCAGAATGCAACGATCAGGAGTACATAATGCAGGTTTAGGAACACACAACTTAGGGAGCGGGGTCAGGAGTGTGTAATGCATTATGGGGTAACAAAAAGGGTGCAGGAGTCAGGGTTGTGTAAGGGCTCGTTCACACTTGACTGTTTTACCAACACTTGCCAAACGCCCCTATAGCATTTGGCAAGCGTTGGTCCGGCGTTTGCGGAGCGTTTTTTAATGCTTGGCAAACGCTCCGCAAACGCCGCATGCGCGGTTTAGCGGAAGTTGCTAGGCGTTTGCCGAGCGTTAAAAATGCCCCACAAACGCCTACAGTGGGGATCGAAAGTTTGGGCACCCCAGCTAAAAATTTGTATTAATGTGCATAAAGAAGCCAAGGAAAGATGGAAAAATCTCCAAAAGGCATCAAATTACAGATTAGACATTCTTATAATATGTCAACAAAAGTTAGATTTTATTTCCATCATTTACACTTTCAAAATAACAGAAAACAAAAAAATGGCATCTGCAAAAGTTTGGGCACCCTGCAGAGTTAATATCTTGTACTGCCCCCTTTGGCAAGTATCACAGCTTGTAAACGCTTTTTGTAGCCAGCCAAGAGTCTTTCAATTCTTGTTTGAGGTATCTTTGCCCATTCTTCCTTACAAAAGTCTTCCAGTTCCTTGAGATTTCTGGGCTGTCTGTCACGCACTGCTCTTTTAAGGTCTATCCATAGATTTTCAATTATGTTGAGGTCAGGAGATTGTGAAGGCCATGGCAAAACCTTCAGTTTACGTCTCTTGATGTAATCCCCTGTGGATTTTGAGGTGTGTTTAGGATCATTATCCATTTGTAGAAGCCATCCTCTCTTTAACTTCAGCTTTTTCACAGATGGCATCAAGTTACCATCCAAAACTTGCTGAAATTTGATTGAAACCATTTTTCCTTCTACTCGTGAGATGTTCCCTGTGCCACTGGCTGCAACACAACCCCAAAGCATGATTGATCCAACCCCATGCTTAACAGTTGGAAAGAGGTTCTTTTCATTAAATTCTGTGCCCCTTCTTCTCCAAACGTACCTTTGCTCATTCCGTCCAAAAAAATTCAATTTTAACCTCATCGATCCACAGAACTTGTTTCCAAAATGCATCAGGCTTGTCTATATGTTCATTTGCAAAGTTCAAACGATGATTTTTGTGGTGAGGACGTAGAAGAGGTTTTCTTCTGATGACTCTTCCATGAAGACCATATTTGTACAAGTATCTCTTTATAGTGGAATAGTGTACCACAACTCCAGTGTCTGCCAGATCTTTCTGGAGGGATCGTGCAGTCAAACGTGGGTTTTGAATTGTTTTTCTCACAATCCTGCGAGCTGTTCTGTCTGATATTTTTCTTGGTCTTCCAGATCTTGCTCTAACTTCCACTGTTCCTGATGACTGCCATTTCTTAATTACATTCCGAACAGAGGATATTGACATCTGAAAACGCTTTGCTATCTTCTTATAGCCTTCTCCAGCTTTGTGAGTGTCAACTATTTTCAGTTTCAGTTTTCTAGACAACTGCTTAGAAGAACCCATGGTGCTGATTGTTGGGGTAAGGTCAGATGAGTCTGGGCATTTAAAACCTGAGATTGACATAACCGGGTCTTCCCAGACAATGATTGAGAACAATCCATGACACTGGCAGGTCTCAGCTTTGCAAAGGGGGCAGTGCATGCTATAAATTCTGCAGGGTGCCCAAACTTTTGCAGACGCCATTTTTTTGTTTTCTGTTATTTTGAAAGTGTAAATGATGGAAATAAAATCTTAACTTTTGTTCACATATTTTAAGAATGTCCAATCTGTAATTTGATGCCTTTTGGAGATTTTTCCATCTTTCCTTGGCTTCTTTATGCACATTAATACAAATTTTTAGCTGGGGTGC